ATGACAAAGCTTCGGTGTCCACTGTTCTGAGGGAAATGGATCTGCTGGACCAAATGGACATGTGGCACAAGCCACAAGGCCAAGAATTTGGCTGCGCGCTTTCTGGAATATTTGGGATCTGCCAAGAGGGAATTGCCGAAAGAGGTGGACGATTGCCAAACGTACGAGGAGCTGAAAAAAATTCGGAAGGAAAAGCTTCGCACGTGGTTGCGCGATCGAGGCGAGCCATTCACATCCACAACAAAGGTGGCAGATTTGGCACAAAAAATATGGCTTCTACGACATGGATCCGAAGCCGAGGTGGACGAGGATGCGGAAGCGGCCTTGGGGCAGGCGCATCCCGGGCTTGCCGGCTCGGGTTGCGCACAAGATCTTAGAGATTGGTTTTATGCCGTGTGCAAGCTCCATAGCACTAATGACTGTATGGATCATGCCATTCTAGGGAGACAACTAGCCGATGACATGCAAGTGCTGGTGAAGCACTGGGGCGGAAACCACTCGCATTGCACGACACATGGTCGAGCGGATGTGTGCCGAATTGTGGGCGGTCCCCAGTCGCGTCAGCGATTCGAAGAGGACGGACCTACCGCGAATAGGGCCATCACTGTCGTGCACGGGACAACGGATGGTGAAAAATGACAATAGTTGCAAGAGTTTTGGAGGCTCGCACAATACTATGTCGGGGCGGTCATCCCTTTTCTATTTGTCGAGGTTTCGCACGACTTCCTTATGCGTTGCGGCGGGGTCAAACTCTGCCCCCTTGTACGGATTACCGTCCTCCCATTTGATGACATTATCAAACAGCCGACTTGGGGCGGCTCCTGCACCGTCGTTTGGCAATCCGATCGCCGATGGATGTTGTTGATGAAGGGGGGCGCAAGAACCGGCGTTGCTGCCAGACGAAGTGTTGTGCGCACCACCTTCATTATGGGTATTACACTGCAGTTTCCCTATCCTCGCCTTTGACCAATTTAGTAAAGTTGCAAGGACTTCGGAAGAAGTCATGTTCTCTGGCTTCTTACTTTCGCCCAACACTTTGGCAAAGTCAGTGAAGTGATTGTGAACATCCCTAGACACAGTGATGGTAGTCCTTTCGGGCGAGGGACAACGGGTTGCTGGTGGGCGAGGCAATGGCGGTGCGGGTGAAGTGGGACGCAAGGTGCGCAAAGGGGGGAAGTAAGTACTGCCACAAGAACAACACCTGCCCGAAATGGGGAGCGTTGGGGGAAGGAGTGCATCATCGACACTTAAAGAGAGACCGACAGTGGATCGGAACGTCCCTCCAATCGGCAGTTGAGGCAACCCCAAGTGCTGGGGGGGGACAGGTTGTGGTCGACTGTCTCCTCGTTGCCTTTTGCTTGATGTGGTGTCAGACGCAACGAGTGTTGAAAGAGAGTCAGCATGCAAATTGAAGGGAGCGGACATGTCGAGTAGTGTGTGTGTGTGTGTGTGTGTGTGTGTGTGTGTGTGTGTGTGTGTGTGTGTGTGTGTGTGTGTGTGTGTGTGTGTG